CTTAATCCCTATCACCTTCTTAGCGCATCCCCTCACCCACCTCCCCTTTGGTAACCATCTGTTTGTTCTCTAGAGTTAAGAGTCTGTCTCTTGGTTTCTCTCTCTTTTTCCCTTTGCTCATTTGTTTTCTTTTTTAAATTCCACATATGAGTGAAATCATATGGTATTTGTCTTTCTTTGACTTATTTCACTTAGCATAATATGCTCTAGTTCTATCCATGTTGTGGCAAATGGCAAGATTTCATTCTTTTTTATGGCTGAGTAACATTCCATTGTATATACACACATCTTCCTTATCCATTCATCAGCTGATGGACACTTGGGCTATTTCTATAATTTGGCTATTGTAGATAATGCTGCTATAAACATCAGGGAGCAGGTATACCTCAGAATCAGCATTTTTGTATTCTTTGGGTAAATACCTAGTAGTGCAATATCTGGATCGTAGAGTAGTTCCATTTTTCTAAATTTATTGATGTGTCTTCACATAGCTGGGTTTTATTTTTGTGGGGTGTGTACAATGTGAGTTATCTTTTTGAATCCAATCTGACAATCTCTATCTTTCCTGAAAAAATAAATCCATTTGCCTTTTATGATTATTGATGGACTTGGATTTTCACTGTCATATTTTTATTTTTTAAAATAACTATTCTTGAGGCTCCTCAAAAAGTTGAAAATAGAGCTACCATACGACCCAACTACTGGGTATTTACCCCAAAGATACAAATGTAAGGATCCAAAGGGGTACATGTACCCCAATGTTTATAGCAGCAATGTCCACAATAGCCAAACTGTGGAAAGAGCCAAGATGTCCATCGACAGATGAATGGATAAAGAAGATGTGGTATAGATATACAATGGAATATTATGCAGCCATCAAAAGGAATGAGAGCTTGCCATGTACAACGACGTGGATGGAACTGGATGGTATTACGCTGAGCGAAATAAGTCAATCAGAGAAAGACATGTATCCTATGATCTCACTGATACGAGAAATTCTTAATCTCAGGAAACAAACTGAGGGTTGCTGGAGTGGTGGGGGTGGGGGGAGGGATGGGGTGGCTGGGTGATAGACATTGGGGAGAGTATGTGCTATGGTGAGCGCTGTGAATTGTGTAAGACTGTTGAATCACAAACCTATACCTCTGAAACAAATAATACATTATATGTTAAAAAAAAAAAAAAAGAAGAAGATAGTAGGAAGGGTAAAATGAAGGGGGGGAAATCGGAGGCGGAGATGAACCATGAGAGACTATGGACTCTGGGAAACAAACTGAGAGTTTTGGAGGGGAGGCAGGTGGGGGGACGGGGTAGCTGGGGGTGGGTATTAAGGAGGGCACGTGTTATAATGAACACTGGGTGTTATACGCAAACAATGAATCATGGAACACTACATCAAAAACTAATGATGTAATGTATGGTGATTAACATAATTAAAAAAAACTATTCTTGATACAAAAGAATATGCTTTAAAGCATTATAATAGAGTGAATTCCATTAACCCACCACGTTAAGAATTAGCAATATTATTAATACCACCGTATCTGTGTGCTCCCCATATATATGTATACACACACATATACATATTATATATAAATGTTTTGTTTTTCAGTCTTAAAGTTAGTATTATATTTTATATAGCCTTGTGGGACATATTCTTATCCAACCTCAACATTATTTTTTAGGTTCATCTATGTTGCCATTTATGACTAAAATTCATTCATTTTATTATGTGATTATATCCAACTTAATCCATCTTCCTACTGAATAATATTTCTCCTATTCCTCTCCCTTATTTTTATGCCATTAAAAATAGTATTTCTAAAAACAATGGCTTTCATGTTTGTTGGTGTGGACTTTCTCTAGGGCATATCTCTAGGAGTGACTGCTGGGTAAGAAGATGTGCAAATGTTTAATTGTATACAATTATGCCAAACTGCTTTAAAAATGATTGTAAACACATTCCAACCTTTTAGACTTGTGTGGATCTACATCCACATCAATCCTTGTTATTAACAAATTTCTTAATTTGTGCCAATAAATAATAAGATGGTATCTCATGGAAAACTGAGATGTAGTATAGACTGCCAGCAGGTGTGAATAGTTTCCATTCAATGACATCATTGTGTCCATTTCCCCCATCTATTTTCAAGTAATGCAGAACTACTAAAAGCGACACAAATAAAAGGCATCAGTAAAAAATTATGAAGGCAGAGGAGTTTAATCCATCCCTCAACAAGACTAACTTATTGCAAACCCTATGCTCTATGTATCCATTGATCAATCATTTGGTTTCTATTTATCTCAGATTTAGAGATCAGAATTGAGGTGGCTATTACAGAAACATACATCAACCCATTTATTTCAACAGAAAAAAGAAGCCTGACATTTTCTGACCAAAGATAATTCTATTTAAACTGATGGTTTTCACAGTGAAAACTGGTTTTACCAATGAGGTTTTATGGCAAATGAATTCCATAAACTGAAAAAGCTAAATTCTGACCCCAAGGGGGGGGGTTGTTTATTTTTTTAAGACTATTTTTTGGAGTTTTATGTTCACAGCAGAACTGAGAAGAAGATACAGAGATATCCTCTGCCTCCACAACAAAGCTTTCCCCATTATCAACATTCTCCACGCAAAGTGGTACATTTGTTACAATTCATGAACCTACATTGAGACATCATTATCATCCATTAACCATTATCGTCACCCCTGGCTTACATTAGGTGTTGTACATTTCAGGAGTTTTGATAAATGTATAATGACATTATCTAGTCATTACAGTGTCATACAGAATATTTTCACTGTCCTAAAAATCCCTGTGCTCTGACCATTCATCTCTTCCTACCTCCCAACTCCTGGCAACCACTGATATTTTTACTGACTCTATCGTGTTGTCTCTTCCAGAATGTCATATCGATGGAATCATACAGATTTCATGCTTTTCAGAGTGACTGCCCCAAAGTTTTGACAAGATAAACACACACACACACACATAGCACATGATAATAATAGTTTCTTAAATATATTATGCTGGCAAAGGTAATCTGAAATTAGTATTTCCATCTTCTTATCCTTATGTACATCAGGTTAAGTATCTCTAAGTGAATGAGTAGCAGATATAACTACTCGTTTTTGTTGTTTTTCATTTTAATAATGTCTTTATGTTATAATTACCAAAAAACCGAGATAGTGAGTGACTTTCATAAGAAGATAATAAATTCTTTCCCAAGTAAGGTAGTTTCTAATTTTTTGCTTTTAAGAAACTGAACAAGGAAGGACATGACTGAGTCATCATGTGATAGGTCATCCAATATGATTTTTGAGGATGAACCACTATTAAGTTCCAGTTCATCGAACTGATTTTTTTTATTTCTTCTTTCAACAGATTTTTTTCTTTGAACTGAATTTTTTAATAAAAATGTATTTATGTAAACAAAGAATGCAAATGACCCAGAACTTGTCTTTTTATCAATAAATGCTTATACATGGGTATATGATATAAACGGAAAAAGAATAGCCGAATCCATTTCATTATGCACTACTTCCAATAAAATCTTACTTTTTACATTGATTTTTATCAAAAATGAATTTATGTTGAAGACTTGTATACCCAATTAATTATAATACCTCAGAAGAAAAATGTCAACATTTACTGTGATCACAGAAAACAAAACAAAACTCAATTTAGATTTGGTTATAAAGAAGTATGATCAGAGGGATCAATCAAAATATATTTAATAGGGTAACATTTTGTGAAGGAAATGGACTGGAAATACAATTCAAAGAGAAAATGATGCAAAAAATATATTATCAACGTTTATATATAGTTTTAAATAGATGATGGTACATATCTAATCACTGAGGATCTGCTTTTATTAGTGATTCTCAAAACTGACAAAGAAGTGTCATTTCAAAACGTAAATATGCCAAAAATGCCCTAAAATAGCATCCAATGGAAGTGCTCAAACTTTTGAAGAAAACGTTTAGAACTTAAAAATATGCTACGTAGTAACATAGCTCTTACACATTTTTTAATGGAATACCTGAGTAACAGTTTTTGTTGAACTACTTGCATGAATTGGCATCTGCAGAGCAAGTTCACGTTTTCTATTTTGATTTTATATTTATCAGGGGTAACTTGAGGTCAGGGTGATAGATGGAGAGTATGGGGTGGCTGCTTTGCTTTATCCTCATGATATTACTTAACACATGGCCAGAACTGCCATCTATAAGGCATAGGCCTTGGAAATTAAAACAAACATGAAACAGCAATCATTTGTCCCGAACTTACTCATTTAATACCAAACGTTTCCCCATGAAAAAGGTATCACCTGTTAGCACCTGAGAAAGCTGAAGTTTTGAGAGGTCCAACAGGCTCACGGACAGAGGCTATGGCCCAGCAGGCAAAAATCACCCCGATAGCGTTTATGGCCTTAGTTTACTCATCTTAAAGTGGGGATAATAAAACCAACTTTATAACTCTTCCTAAAATATGTTCTTTACGTGAAAAACAAATTAAATTAGGGGTGCCTGGGTGTTGCAGTCGGTTAAACATCTGATTCTTGGTTTCAGCTCAGGCTGTGATCTCAGGGTTGTGAGATCAAGCCCCGTGTCAGGCTCCACAATGCGCGTGGAGCCTGCTAAGTTTCTCTCTCTCCCTCTCCTCTGGCCCTCCCCCCACTTGCATTCTCTCTCTCTTTCTCAAATGAATCTTCAAAAAATCAAATTATATTATAAAAATATCTTTTGGTGCAAAGTGGAAAACTAGATATAAGCAGTTAGGGATATGGGCACCGGTGTGTTCACACATACCTACATTCAAGAAAAATAACACACTTTTTATAACATACTCCCAATATTTTCTGAACTTTGTCTCCTCTCAGGGCAAGTCATCTAGATATCCATCAAGAGGTCCAATCCATTTGTACCCAAGTAATTGAATGCATGATTGAATCAATGCACAGACTATTTAATATTGCTTAGACATTCAACTTACTTCTTGGGCAGCTTCATTTTTTTCACCTTTTCTTCAGCATGTTCATCTGATATACCCACATGACATCCTAATGCCAGCAAAGTCCTGGAAAACAAAACCAGAGATAAGCTGCAAGAACTCCTTCTCTATCTCCAGAATAACCCAACATAATGGCGGAGGGGAATCAGGTGTAACAGTCCACCTTGAAAGCAGAGCAGAAATTGCCTTTAAAGCAAAGGAAAAACATTTATTTATAAATCATTTACTTTTGAGTAACGAGTAAGTCATTGAAAATTGAAATATCGCAAAGGGCAATATATTGAATAGTAAGTCTTTCTCCAATCCCCTTCCTATAGTCCTGTTTCTTTTCCTAAAGACGCTGATTGCTACTGATTCTTGAATATCCTGCTCTAATCTGTGCAAATACTAACACAAGTTTATGTGTGTGTGTGAGCATGCACACGGGCATGCATATTGTTTCGTTTTCCCCCTTTTACATAATGGGTACATAACAAGAGAGAGCTCTCTGCAATTTTCTATCTTGACCTTACAGCATAACTCTGATATACTCTTCTTTCATATAAAGCTGGTTTATTTTTCAACAGCTCTGAAATATTCCATTAGTTGGATGTGTCATAATGTTTTTACCCAGTTCTTTGTTCATAGTCTTCTGTTGTTACAAATAATGCTGCGATGAATAACTTCATAAATACATGTACTATATCCCTCATCTGTGGGTTAAAAATTCCTAGACATGGAATTTTACTGGATCATAGGGTATATACATTTTAAAGATTCACAAATATTGTCAAATGTCTATAGAGTCAGTAGTAATTTACATTCCTACCAGCCATGTATGACATTACCTGCTTCCCAGTTCTCAAACTGCTTAAACTTTGTCAATTGGTAGGTTAAAAGGGCATCAAAATAAATAGATAGATAGATGGGAAAAAAAAAAAAAGGTATCTCATTAGGGATGCCTGGGTGGCTCAGTCAGTTAAGCGTCGGCCTTCACCTCAAGCCCCGATCCCAGATCCTGGGATCAAGTCCCACATCGGGTTCCTTGCTCAACAGGGAGCCTGCTTCTCCCTCTGCCTGCCGCTCCCCCTGCTTGTGCTCTCTCTCGCTCTGACAACTAAATAAAATCTTTAAAAAAAGAGACAGAGAGAGAAGGTATCTCATTATCATTTTAGTTTGTATTATTTTTATGATTTTATTTTTACATAATCTCTACATCCAGCATGGGGCTTGCTTGCACTTGTAATCCCAAGATCAAGAGTTGCACATTCCACCGACTCAGCCAGCCAGGCACCCATGTATTTTTCTTAAAATAAGTGTATTTGAGCACCTTTTTCATATGCTTGGTATCTGTATTTACTTTTTTCTGTGAAAATATTCTTTGTTCAACTTCCCATTAGATATGGGTTTTTAATTGCATTTTAGAAGCTCTTCCTGTGTCTGAGATATGAGTTGCAAATACTTTTCTCTAGTTTGTCTTTTTACTTTCTTTATATTTTCATCTCCGAGCAGAATTCCAAATCTGTTTTTATGTAACTGAAATTTTACATCTTTTCTTATGGCTTTTGGGTTTTATATGGCACTCAGAAATTCCCCATTTGTAAAATCATTTAAAGGAAAATGTCCATGCTTTCCTGTGAGGGGGTGATGGGGAGGGGATTCTATTAGTTTAAGGACAGCTTAGCTTTTTTTTTTTTTTTCAGACAGATATCTAATTCTCCATAAAATACTTACTAAATAATCCATCTTTTACCCCTGGTTTGAAATGCAACCTTTATTAGATACAAATTCCCCATATGTTTTTAATCCTTCAGGGACTTTCTAGTCTAGAAACAAATCTCATTTTCAAATGACATATCAGGATCCCTGTTTGCCAGGAACTACTTGTCCATTTTTTAAGATACTCTATTTTTTTCCTCCCCTGAATGACCTTCGGTTGATTTTTCCCAAGGAAGATCCTTACAATTCACATGCACTCCCTTTAGAGTCCTCCAGGTTTATATGAAACAATGTGACTTTACTCTCCATGACAAGGAGTGGTTTCTCCTATCTCAAAAGAATAAGATACAGTGGCTTATCCTTTTTGGGTTACAGAATTTCTAGGGTCTAGTCAGTTCCAGTAGGGAGATGGCAAGTATCTACAATTCACTTACACTTATCCTCCACAACATCTGAAAAATGAAAATCTGGAGACAGATAACACAGATGGTATAAGTAGACAGAGCTGCATGTATTTATACATACACTGTTATCACATTAAATTTTAGGTTATACATGTCAAAACGAAGATGACCCTGTGAGATTACCCTCCAAGCGTTAACCTACATAACTATGGATAGATCAAGAACTGACCGAAGCTATAAAATTACCTAAATAAACTTTTAGACAAAAATCTCTTTTAGACAAAAATCATGCCTCTTCCTTAACTACTTTTCTCCCTTCCCTATTGCTCTCCTTGGTGTCCCTGCGTCTTTTTGCCTCCCAGCCCTCCCTACATGTATATACAAACACACTGCATTTCCCAAAATCAATTTTAAGGAAAAAAACTACTTGAACAGAAGAAAAAATATTGTTCTAGTCTTGCTCTATTTTTGTTAACTTCCAAGGAAAGAGTCTATGAAAGTATATGAGATGTTAAGAATCCTTGTAACATTCATTTCCTAAACATAAGTCATTTATTCAAAAGTCAAGATCTGGAAATCTAAAATTACTGTAGGTAAAGCAGAAACTAAACCTTTAGTGACACTGGTTAAATTGGGGGTGGGCTGACAGGCATGCTGTAACCACTGGGTTGTCCTGAGAGAGGGTGCTGGAAGTTTTGCAGGGCTCTGCAATACACAGATGACCAGCAAATCTGAAGCTGTCTTTCCCAACAATTTACATGACAAAAAAAATCACAGAGCATCTAAAATTCATATTCACGTGAAATCACCCTTCAATCCAAAATAAGGGATATTCTGGAGTAAGCTTTTGCTTATTTGTTACTTGGCACTCCTCAGAATCCAAATGAATAAAGTTTTGATCCTTCCCATGAAATTTTTTTATAGATTTTATTTATTTATTTGTGAGAGAGAGAGAGAGAGAGATGGAGGGAGAGAGAGAGTGCAGAAGCAGGGGGAGCGGCAGGCAGAAGGAGAGGGAGAAGCAGGCTCCCCGTTGAGCAGGGACCCCAACATGGGGCTCAATCCCAGGATCCTGGGATCATGACCTGAGCCGAAGGCAGACACTTAACTGACTGAGCCACCCAGGTGTCCCCTTCCCATGATACTTTTATGGGGTGTGTCAGACATATGGTGCTCCAAGCTTGATCAGCATTATCATTTAGTCCCCACCACAATTCCATGAAGCAGATACACCATGACCCCCACTTTATGGATGGAAGAAAATCTAAGGTTCGGAAAATCTAAGACTCCCTTTGGAGCAGCAAGTCCTTGACCCCATACCATCCAACACCAGAGCCTGTGTTCTTACTTACTCTGCTCTGGGGGCTACCAAGTAAACAAGGTTCTAATGGAAATACAGAAAGAAACTACCGTGCTTACTCTCAACTACGGAGATTGGGCTAAGTGTGAATTTTGGAGAAGTAGGGGTTCTCCCTGTTCTAATTTAAATTTTAAAGAAATAGTTTCAATCAGCTCATCGTAAAATCATAAAATATTGAGGATTAGCTCATGGAAAAGGTCATTAGCATTGACCGTGGGCTATAGCACCAGGGTACATGCAGTGTGATGATTAATCAACCAGCCCCCAGTCCCTCTTAGGAATGAGATGAGATTACATGCAGTCAGAATCCACACACTATGCAAATACAGAATTTTCTCCACTTCATTGCTTCCTGGGATCTATCCTTTGCAATAGCTGGCTTAGTTGTCAATCACTAAAACTATAGGAAATGTACTACAAATTTAACTAAATTATCTTAGACCTTTCAATAAAACATTTCATTGAAAAAGATGAGCACATGGCGAGCTGCGTCAATCACTTATTGAAATGTACAAGCCCCTCATAAAGAATGCAAAGGGAGGCAGGGGATCCTAAACACGAGGTACACAGGTCATAGCCATGCATTATGCATCCTTCATTACAGGCAAGCTCTGTCAATTTTTATCTCTGGGAGGTTCTCAATTTACTTGATTTGTATATATTTCCCTTTCCTTTTAAATTACTAGTAGAACCTAAACTCACTCTATGCCCAGTATGTTAATTTCCGTAATGATTATTACAATCACATCTTTGAAGAAATACCCCTGAACCCAAAACCTAGAGTTTGACACAATGGTGAAGTTTTATGATCTGAGTCCTTGGTAAAATCACTTCAAGGAAGTAACTGCTTATTCTCAACAAAACTGAAACAAAAATGTTCACAAGTATATAAGCCTAATATAAACATGCATTAGGGTAAGTGGCCTATTTGAATAAATCTAGTTCTAGAGGCCACCAAGGATAGAAAAGGAATTAAAGAAACATTATAGTCTTCTTAAAAATATTTTCTGAACTTTTCTTTTCTTTTGAGAGGGAGAGAGAGCTAGAGGGGCAGACGGAGAGGGAGAGAATCTTATGCGGGCTCCATGCCCTGAGATCATGACCTGAGTCAAAATCAAGAGTCAGATGCTTAACTGACTGAGCCACCTAGGTGCCCCTTTTATAAACTTTTTATATTAAAATTTAAAATTACTTTCCTTCATTTTACCCCACCTCATTCTTTCATTTGCAATGGTAAGTGGCAAATTTCCTGAACACAATTGACAGTGTCACTGAAAAGCAAATCTGCTTTTAAAGATAACATGCAAATTGCCTAAGGCAGCTTTTCTCAACATGTGTTCCTCTGGCAGCGCCGCCCCCCCCGCCCCCCCCCCGAAAAAGAAAGATGGTATGGTAAAAACAAGGTACTCTCTGGAAGAAAAAAAAAAAAAAGGTGGTAAATGGATTCCATCCCATTTTAGAGATTCACAGCACTAAAAAAATCCATCAGTAAAATAAACAATTGTTTTAACTCAGCATCTTTAAAATATATTAGAGCAGTGTTTCTCAAACTATCTGTGATGAAGGGCCAATTTTCTTTTAATTTCCAGCCTATTGTGGCCTGATTCTCTGATAAAATACAATAAAACTTGTTAGAGAAAATTAAAATTTTTAAATGAAGACATATAAAATATAAGCCTACATTTTATAAATTATGAGATACAATAAGACATAAAATTGTTCCCTTAAATTGGTATAAAAGTTTTTCAACACTTACTATTAGTATCTTTACTTACGTTGTCACAAATCAAAAGCAATTTGTGAACAGACCTGGTCCCTGGCCCACACTGCAAACAGCATTTTATCTGATCAAAGAACCCTCGTATTCTGTAATACCCAAAATATCCATAGAACACTCTTTGGTAAATACTTTATAAAGCATAAAGATATAAAATAGCAGGGTCAAAAGTCTAATTCCCAACAAATAGTGTTCCAGTCCACCTGTGCATTATGAAAAGTTCTGAGTTAATTAATTTAATTCTAACTGAATTAAAGTGTATTGATACCTTGTTTGTTTCAGGTCAGTCAGATCAGAAAATAGGAAAAGTTAAGAAACTCACTTCAGGGTCTCAAGCGACATCTGTAAGTTGTAATTGCGTTCCTGTTCAGGCAGCTTGGAGAATTCCACCAGACATGGGTGTTGTCTCTTATTGTCATCTCTAACCTGAAACAGGACAGAAAATCCTCATAATAAAAATCTCCAATTTCAGACACCAGCAATGGCAATCCAACTGCGTGGCAGGAAAATGAAGGGGAAAAGCAAGAAGGAAGGCTCAGCTTACCACCCCAGCAAAGCTGTCCCTGTTAAGCCCCAGGCACGCTAATGTTTGCGGTCAGTGGTAAAACCTGGCATTATCTGGGCCCCCTGTTCTGTTCGGTACAGTTCCTGGCCCCAGGGCCCATGCCTGCTCTACCCTGACACCTGCAAGCTCACCCTCCAGCCCCCTCCAGCGTTTGCTTAAATCTTACTTCCTCAACCAGGTTCATCCTGTCCCCCTTCCCAATATGGCCAACTGCCCACTCACCCTACACTTTCATTTTCTTCCGTAACAAATTCCTCCTGCTGGCAGAACCAGACACTTCCTGGTTTAGGGTCTATTTCCTAGCACTAACATGTAAGACCAAAGAAAAGAGGGATTTTGTTCTCTTTTCTTCTTTGATGTATTCCCAGCACCTAGAACATGCCTAATACATGGTAGGCACTCAACAAATGTTTCATGTATTGAAATGAAGTCTACATAAGAAAGGTGTAGTGTTGACTTAGTTTTAATGTGTAGTAATTTTATGTGTTTAGAGCCAAACGGACTAGAGATGTCCATCGACAACGTGACTGATCTAAAGTCTTTGCAGGGGTTCCAGCTGTGCATTTCACCCACTGTAACTTGCAGATATTACAAATTATTCCTTTACCTTAACAAAAATCAGTTAGCCTCATTCAGGCACTTTTCATACTAATCCTTCAAAGTGTATATTAGCCAGCCATCAGAGTAAACAAAATCCAAGATTTTAGGAATGAATTAATGAGAAAGATGTTCTAGATCCTTGCACTAGTAGATAGATTATCTTCTTGGAGTCCTAAATGACACAGGCATTACCATGTGGTAGCTCCCAGATGACAGCCATGTGCTGTTGGGGTGCAAAATTACTCCATGAGAATAATTACCAGGTTCTAGAAATGCCACCTAAAAAGTGCGCAAACCTAAGCAAGGACTTTTTACTTTTATTTTTTTTTTTAAGAATTTATTTATTTATTTGACAGAGAGAGACACAGCGAGAGAGAGGGAACACAAGTGGGGAAGTGGGGAAGAGAGAAGCGGGCTTCCCACTGAGCAGGGAGCCCGATGTGGGGCTCGATCCCAGCACCCTGGGATCATGACCTGAGCTGAAGGCAGACGCTTAATGACTGAGCCACCCAGGCGCCCCGCAAGAACTTTTTTTAAACTCTTCAGGTCATCGCTAAGTTAAAAATAACATATTATTTCTTCTTCCTGGTGATCATTACAATTGAACAGGACTTACACAAAAGCATAAACCATACGTCCTTAATGGGTAGATCCATAAGTGAAATCTAGAATTACAAAATTTCACTGTGAATTCTAAACATCAAAGTAGAAACGAAGGTGTCCAAGTCCCGAAATAATCTACCCCCCATTGATGTCATGTCCACTTCGCCTCTCTTCTCTACATGGGAGAATCATGGACACCACTGTCCTCTTGGGTGTCCAAGCGAAAACCAGAAACTTGTGATCTCCCTCCCTCTCTTCCCCACACCCCGAACGTGAACCCTACGACATGTCTTGCAATCATGTTTCCCCTTCCCCGCTGCCAGGCACACATTTGTGAAACTCTTGCCGTCTCCCACCTCGGTCACTCTAAGAGCACTGGCAAGTCTTACAGTGAAAACAGTTCTAGAGTAAAAGCTAGAAAATCTGGATCCCAGTCCTAGCTCCTCATGAGCTCGGCGACTGTCAAGGCCCAACTCTCAGAGATGTCATCACCAGCAAAACTGAAATAACAGCCCTGTGTGCTGTTATGAAAATTTAACCCAATAACCTGATAGAGTGTATGTGAAAATGGAAAGCTCTAAATAAATATATAAACGTGAGGAAGTAGTGTGGGGTATCATCTGGTATTCACCACTAGCACTAATAAAAAATGTTCTTTATTTAAAGCTCAATGCAATAAACTAGGACAGGGTGAATGCACTCATTTCTACATTTAGTCAAATATAAGAAAGTGTTAGAAACTTTGGGCTACCTAGACTAATATTATAAAAATAAAAGTATTGCCACAGTCCTGCCAAAAATAGGTGTATGATACACTGAATTACACAGGAAATTTTTTTAATATAAATTTTATTGACAAACCATAAACTAAGATCTTTATTTTTTTGTGTGAAGATTTTATTTATTTATTTATTTGAGAGCGAGAGAGCAAGAGAGCAAGCATGGTGTGGTCGGGGGGGCGGTGCAGAGGGAGAGGGAAGAGAGAGAATTTCAAGCAAACTCCCTGCTGAGCATGGAGCCTGACATGGGGCTCGATCCCACGACCCTGAGATCATGACCTGACCTGAAATCAAGAGTCAGATGCTTAACCAACTGAGCCACCCAGGAGCGCCCTAAGATCTTTAAATAATAATTTGGAAATATATCCAATCATTATATCTCAGCCTGTCCTCCACCTATGAAACCAACCGCGGCCCTCAGCCCACAGGACCTGTAGGGACTGCTACACACAGTTAAGACTAAAAGAAGCAAAGCACCAGATAAAGGAAAAGGAAAATGACTCATTTCTTTCCATTTTCAGCTTTCACTTTCAATTTCAGTAAGTTTTTTTTTCCTCAGGGGCTTACAAGTCAATGCCTATTGTCTGTATATATTAACTTTGATTTAAAAATATAACTCTCAGCCTCAAGAATGACAACTTTTCAATTGTCTAGGCAACTGAACCATCCTTCAACGAACATGACAATAATGTCATTCCCTCTTGTAAAGAAAAACTGAACAAAAACTCATGTGTAGGGGAAAAAAAAATCAATCTAATTGATCAGGTCGCCAAATAGCAGGATGAGAAAAGGTTATGTTTTTAGAAAGATGTATTAACAAATCTGAAAATAAATTTCAAGATTACGTACCGGACCGTACTGCCAGCCAAGTTCAATTTTATTCATAACCCAGAGTTCATGGATATTCTCGGCCAGTTTTTCTCTTATTCTCTCTAGGTGAGGAGGTAACACGATCTAAAGTAAGAAAGAAAACACACATCAGAAACAAATGCAATAAAACCATGCTAATTGTCCTCACTGTGAATTGAAACAAATAAAACCATTGTAAACCATTAAAATGTTAACAATATACTAGATTCTAACCCTTCTAATGTAGTTATAAAAATATAACGAGGTATAGCTAAAAATTGTTTAGGTAATTTGGGGACTTTTTGGTGGGACAACTTGGTTTCCAAGTGAATTTATGAACAAAAGTTGGGAAGAAGGAAAACACGGGTGTTGGTGGGGACAGTCACCATTAAGAACAATGCCTTCATGGATGTGGGATGTAAGCACCAGAGCGTGCATCACTTAAAAAGAGAAATCACCCCAAAGTTCTTAAACTAACTGGCTATTACACATAGGCCAGAATGAAGGCAATTCAGTGACCAAAGGATAATCCACTGGCTCTTTGAGCCTGTAAATATTTGCAGTGATTTATGCTTTTCCCTTGACTCTGCTGTTATTTCTAGTGGTTTCCAAGAATAAGCTTCTAGGGAAAACAATCTTTACATGTTCTCATTCAAAAGAGGAAGTTTAATGACCTCTTCATTAAGAACATGAATGGTTTTCAAGGTCAGGGGTTGGTTGTTGGTGTTTGGCAATGCACTTAGGTGTCATCCCACAGCCAGTCCCTCCACAAACATAGAGCAGGTGACTGCCTACAACGTTCACTGATGAGACAGTTTCCCCAGGGAGCAGGCTATCACTGCTCCCTTTCCCCACAACGGTAGAGATAATCTACATCATAGGAAATCCTCAATGCGCTCCCAATGCGTAATCCAATCGTCCATCCCAATCCATTTCTAGCCTCCTAATCATGTTTACTACTAAACTGTGGTAGCACCACACATATCCTGCCATCCTGCAGCAAGGAACACCACACTGAATTTTAGCCATGAACAAAGCTTGCTTCTTGCCCTCAATAATTTAGAGGCCAGCATGATGAGACAGAAAACAGGATTCAAGGCACTAAACAAGTTTTGCTCAACAACTGAACCTTCTGAGGCCTGGTATTAACTCTACTTCAGACTTTAGAGGCAATCTCAGGGATCTTCACAAACAAACTTTGCATAACCAACCTTACTGAAGTTACTTCAGCATCAAGATAAAGCAATTATTTATTTAATTCATTGTCAACGTCAAGATGTGTTCACATCTATGAAACAGAAAAGAATAAGGATTCACATTTCTCGGGTGCCTGTTTGCAAAGTATCATGCTAATGTGTTATTTATTAACTCTGTCAAACATACTCTTAGCATCCCAATTCACAAGAGGAGCGACTTCCTCAAGGTCCCCAAGTAGGCAAGTGACCCCAAGCACTCTGACTCTAGAGTCCAGGATCTCAATCTCTACTTAAGATAAAGGTCAGTTAAATTGCTTCAAAATAATAGTGTATCTAGATGACTGAAGAACTCCACGTCCACCGTATGTAAAAAGTGCACCCTAAAATTAGTATGCATTACCTCCAATTGTGACCCATATTAGTGCATCATGAAATCAGTGTAGTGGCTTGAGATCACTTTTTTTTTTTTCTCATTGAGATCACTCTTTTAAAAAACAGAATAGAATTGACTACAAAATAGGTGAGTGGCTCTGACAAAGGTAAGCGTCATTTTACGAAACTTTCTTCGATTCTGCATATAAACGGTATGACTGTCAGAGGGGTTCCTGTGCGCCGTGGTTCAAAGAGTCCAAAAGCCACTGCCCGTCAGAACAATGGCACAAGAGCATGACAGTATAGGTGCTCTGGGTACCTGGCTGGTATCCACGGGGATCGGCGTGAAGGCGGCCTGCGTCAGGGAGACCGTGGGGCCCAGGAGGTCTCGTGTGTACGTTCTTTCTTGCTTGTACTCTCGACTGTGCTCCACTTTCAACTTTTCTTTTGGCAGAACAGCTTCGTAACAAGGAGCATACCCAGGTGGCGGGAGGAATTTAAATTCCCCGTGTCTCCCCCCGAGCAGAAAGCGTACCCTAGAAAGGATGCATGTCAGGGTCAGGTATAGCTCTGGTGTACTGAAAGTTCCCCAATCAACAAAACACAGGGAATAAATGATTAGCACAAAATGAACTTTATCAGAAGCCACATTTTCCCCCGAGTACCATCAGAGCGTGGGCACCTTGGAGTCTAAGAACCTCTAAGCACAAAAGTAAAACAGGATGAGAGAACAAGTTGATTATGTTACATTGATGGATCCGAGAAAACTTACCACTCACTGGAGAAATAGCAAAAGCACATGCATCATATTCCTGTAGGAGAAATACCTAATACCTGTGCACAGTAATTGGTCATTTAATGTCTCCAGGGGTGCAAAGAGTCAACAGAGAAAGAGCAGACATTATCTAAATATCTATATACTTAAGATTACAAGACTGCATGAGGTCTGATAAAAAGAAATAACAGTCACTTTCCAATGTCCCACTTCCCAGTGAAATTCCTTAAAGGGAACTCAAATGATACTTTGCAGAAGAAAGAAGGTCACCTTCTTTCTTCTTCAAAGACAAAAAGAAAACCCAAAAAAACCCTTACTAAAGTCTTTTATATATCAAAGTCCTTTAATTAAAAATAATTTAAAACAAGTTCCATTGAACAATGCTTTTTTGAAACACAGCTAAACAATACTGATTTCATGGGCCCTCCGCTTACAAAAATAAAATCAGATTTTCATTTTCCTTGCAATTCTTTTTCTAATTTGTGGTTCATGTTCAGGCCAAAAATAATAGCAATAATAATAAAGCGAATAAAATAAAAGCAAAGAGCAAAAAACGAGGAAAACAAAAATTTTAGAACATTCCAGAAGCTTGTAGAAAGAAATATAATTTGTATAAACAGAACAGAAAAGGTCACTGGTGCATGGAGAGCTAATACTTCACGCTTTCTCTGTCCCCCTCTTCAATATGGTGCTTCGATAACCATGAATTATTCATATGAATAGAATTATAATGGGAAAAATAACCAGAGTAACTTGATGGCCAGTCTTAATAAGGGATCCACTCTCATGAGGTAGCTACACGCACATTTTCATATGTGACAGCGTAGTCCCGTATCACAACAGACCATCGCTTGTTAAAGTTCTCTTTATAGGGGCGCCTGGGTGGCTCAGTTGGTTAAGCAACTGCCTTTGGCTCCGGTCATGACCCTGGAGTCCCAGGATGGAGTCCCGCATGGGGCTCCCTGCTCATCGGGGAGTCTGCTTCTCCCTCTGACCCTCTCCCCTCTCATTCTCTCTCAAGTATATAAAATCTTTAAAAAGAAAAAAAAAGTTCTCGGGGCGCCTGGGTGGCTCAGTCGGTTAGGCATCTGCCTTCGGCTCAGGTCACAATCCCAGGGTCCTGGGATCAAGCCCTGCATCGGGCTTCCTGCTCAGTGGGGAGCCTGCTTCTCCCTTTCCCACTCCCCCTGCTTGTGTTCCCTCTCTCGCTGTCTCTCTCTGTCAAATAAATAAAATCTTTAAAAAAAAAAAAAGTTCTCGGGGCGCCTGGGTGGCTCAGTCGGTTAGGCATCTGCCTTCGGCTCAGGTCAC